GGCTACCAAAAAAAAAAAAAAAAAAAAAAAAAAAAGTTAGGGATTTTTTCGGTTTTATTTTTTTTAATTACAAAGACTGCCCTTTTGTTCCATCTCTTATTTCCTTGGCTCACTCCCTAGCAGTGGAACTACTGGGTCCAAGGGCTAAGTTGCTCTCCACTTCCTGGAAGCTAACTGCCTCATTTTACACATAAGGTAGGAAATAAAGCTTAGAAATAAGGTAGAGGCCCCAGGGTATCCATTTAGGTTGGCAGAAGCTATCACTGAACCCTAGGCCTCTTCCACAGTTAATGTTGAAAAAGCACCGATAAGTTTTCCTGTTCCACTCAAGTAGTTTGACTCAGCAGCTTTCTCATTTGTTGAAAGTGAAACAATGAGGGACTGTGCTGCGCTAGGTCAGCTTCCTTGCAAAGTAGGTTGCTGCTCACGGGAGCAGAAAGGAGTATGGAATAGGGCTTTGAAAAATCTATAAAACAGACTTGACTACAGCTTTGCTCTCCTACTATTGAAATAGCATAGCTCAGTGATGCTTTACTCCTGAGTAGCGTTCTACTGTTTAGAAATGGAATATGGCTGTTACTATTTTAATGGCATATCAAAGCCAGTGGTAAGCTCACTGTGTAATAGAAATAGCCGGTGGTGACTGTCTCTGAATGGGTTCTTTGCTAAAGTTAATCAGCTTTACCACTTTTTTCTCTCTGTTCCAGTTCCACAGCCTCTGTCATGGCATCACCATCCTCTTAGTCACTTAGGCCTAAAAACTCTAATCATCTACTTTTTCCTCACTCTTCCTATCAGATTATTCACTAATCTCCAGTATTTTTGTTTTTTCTTTTCTGCCATAGTCCAATCCTTTATAGCCTTATGGCTCACAGAGAGTAAATATTGGTGGCTGGTTACTGCGTTGAATAGCTGGAGAAGTCTTCTACTGGTCTCTTGCCACTCTTCTCTCATCCCCCCAGTGATTTATGTACCTGGAGTTCAGGTTACTTTTCCTAAACTAGTATTTTAGGTACCTGTGTGTTTGATTCCATCATGAGGTTGCCCATTACCGCTAGGCCCGTGGTTCTCAAGCTTTGCTACAGATTGAAATCACCTGGGGAGCTTTACAGCTCCTCACGTCCAGGTCAAACCCCGTGCCAATTCAATCAGAATGATGCCTGGGGTAGGAGCCAGGAATTTTTTTTTTTTTTTTTTTTTAAGTTTTCTCTGGTGATTCAGCTGTGTAGCAAAGTTTCAGAAATGCTCTGTAGAGCTCAAATGAAAACGTGAGGATTATGAGGAAGACATCTGGGGTTTGGGCATCAGCGTTTCATGTAACCTCTTCCAGGCCTCACTCTATGTGTACAGGTATCCCCTACACCTCTCACATTCTCTGCTAAAAGTCAAAGCTTGTTCTGCTGTTCAAGGCTCTGCAGAAACTAGCTTCGACTCATCAATACCATTTTATACTTTACCCTCCTACCCAGGACCACTACTCAGCCGACCGTGCCAGGCTCTTACCCTCCCTTTCATCTTTGCTTGCTGCCTGTGCCTCTCATCTCATCTAGAATGTGCTCCTCCCTCTTGTGGGAGTGAAAGGCCTGCTTTGACCTTGTGGTTCAGCCCAAGGTGTAACCTCTTGGCCCAGCCTTATCAGATCTGTCTCGGCCAACAGTAATTTCTCTCATTTCCGAACTCGGGAAATATGCACTCGCCATTTATACTCCGCGTTTGGCAGGAGGTGTGTTGTACCTTGTTATTGATTTTCATACGTGTGGTCTGGGACCACAGAGCCAGACCTCAGAACCTCTTTTCATAGATGACAATATAGAGGGAAAAAGAGGAAAATGTGGCAAAGCTGGGACCAGGACCCAATTTTTCTTATCAGCCTCCCTCCTACTTTCTTTTTCTTTCTTTTATTATTTTTTTAATACTTATGTATTTATTTTTGGCTGCCTCAGGTCTTAGTTGTTGGCCCACGGGCTTAGTTTCCCCACGGCATGTGGGATCTTAATTTCCTGACCAGGGGTCACACCCGCGTCCCCTGCGTTGGAAGGCAGATTCTCAACCACTGGACCACCAGGGAAGTCTCCCCTCCTACTTTCTTAATTGTGTATTGTCTTATATCACCTGCTCTCTTTTGGTATGCATGAATATATGTATATGAATGATGCTACTTTAAATTATAGTGGTGAGTTGCCAAGGATCCTACTGTTAGCAAACGAAACTTGGGTTGACTCGCCGGCAAGCAGCAAAGCCAATCTACTGATAGCACGTTGTGATGAAGGAAAGTGCAGCGTTTATCGCAGAGCACCAAGCAAGGAGTCTAGTGCTAGTGCTTAAAACATCTGAATTCCCTGATGGCCTTCAGGGAAAGGTTTTTAAAGACAGGGTGAGGGGGCTTCCCTGGTGGCGCAGTGGTTGAGAGTCCGCCTGCCGATGCAGGGGACACGGGTTCGTGCCCTGGTCCAGGAAGATCCCACATGCCGCGGAGCGGCTGGGCCCATGAGCCATGGCCGCTGAGGCTGCGCGTCCGGAGCCTGTGCTCTGCAATGGGAGAGGCCCGCGTACCGCAAAAAAAAAAAAAAAAAAAAAAAAAAAAAAAAAAGGGTGAGGGAGGGGCGTTGTGGGGTCGAGATCAGCTCGTGGACACTCTTCTGATGGGTTGGTGGAGGGGTAATTGGGAGTCACTTTCTGGTTCCAGTTGGTCTGGGGTCTACGTGCCTTTTGGGCAGCATACAGTTAACTTCTCCCACCCGGCGGGGGTTTCAGTATCTGCAAAGCAGCTCAAAGGACATGGCTCAGAATATTATCTACAGCCCTTGAGGAGTAACCAAAGGTCCTTGACTTTAATGGCTAAACTATTATTATTTTGTTTTGCTTGACTGTTTTCCTGCTTCTCACTTCTCTGATTAAATTTACTCTTTGGAACTCAGGGAAGCCCTAGGAGACCAAAGCTTTTCTATAGACAAGAGGTAGGAGGAGGACAAGGGGATGGGGGTCTGTTCCAGGAAGGCCCCATAGGGTCCTGCTGGGTTGGATCCTACCTCATTGGATCCTTATTAAATTTAAAATGTACAGCTCTTAGCATAGGACCTGGCCCAGATCAGGTACTCAGTTGTTAGCCATGGCTATAATTACTGTAGTAAGACTCGTAAGGGAAACGACTGGAGATTGTTTATTTTTCCCTCATTCAAAGACATTTACCAGGTCCCCTCATTGTTCAAGTGATATGTGAGAATTCAGAGATTTTAAGAAATGGATTGCTTATTTTTTCAGACAAAAATTGGAACATTAGTTTAAACAGCAGATTTTAATATTTTTTGAAACTTAAAAATATTTATTAATTCATTTATAATAACAATAATCAACCTATTACATGTCAGCATAAATCACGTTTTTAACAGAAAATATCTATATTTTCCAAAACAAGAGAAAATAAGTGAGAAGAGTGGCATTGTTTTACATTAAGTTCTTTTTACATAAATTTACATCACATTTTTTTATTCAAACAGAAAGTCACAAAAATTATAATCATCCTCATCAGTTCACTCAGTCCCATGTAATTATTTTTTTTCATCTTGATCTTTTGTTAGCACTTTTATGAATTCACCAGTTTTCCATTAGAGTTCTGAAAATGCTTATTCATTCAGTTCAGCAGTATAGTCAGTTACCAGAAACCTGTACTTGTCAGTCTTTTCCATGAATTCCTTGAAGATGAAACCCTTTTGTAGGAACATTTTTGCAAAAGCATCAGAGTACACCCAGAACTGTCTGTAAATGACAAAAGACTTAAAAATGACCACGGTTAAAGATTTGATGAAAGTTCATAATAATGCAATTGACAATGAAATTTAGTTATTTCTGAGATATACATTTTAAAGTAATAACTAGAATTATGACTTATAACATTATACCAGAACATATAAGATTTTTAGGAATTTCATGTAATGTCTGAAACATTTATATTAACATATTTCCATACAAATAACCCAAAGAAAGTTTAGTATTAGTTTTTAAAAAATTTTTTAATTTAATTTAATTTATTTTTTTATACAGCAGGTTATTAGTCATCAATTTTATACACATCAGTGTGTACATGTCATTCCCAATCGCCCAATTCAGCACACCACCATCCCCACCCCACCATGGCTTTCCCCCTTTGGTGTTTAACATTAGGTTAAACAGCAGATTTTAATATTTTTTACTGGACACTCCTGGAAAATAGGTTCGTCTTATATTCATAGTCCCTACCCTTTAGGAGAGATGAAATGTGTGTACACACAAGTATTTTCTGTAAAACAGATAAAAAGTAAAAAGGCTATAAATGAAGGAAAAAATGAAGGGACTATTGGGGATTGATTGTGAATCCTTCAAAACCCCCAACACTGTTGAATAACAAATAGAAGCTCAGGACCTGCTTTGAGAGAATTCTGGTAAGCTTGGGTGTCAGGTGGGTGTGTGTCCTTTGACCCCAGAGCG